TTATGTTTTTAATTGTGTATATTATGTCTCTATACAATATCTAATTCTCTATTATGGATTTTTTTTATCCAATTTTTTCTATCTAAAGTGCCTTAAATTATATTTTTTTATTTTAAAACTACCATCGAGCTACACAAGAATATAATTTTGATTTAAAAAAAATGGTTAAAATCTTATTTTTTAAAAAAAAAACATTAATGGTTGGGTATTCTTGAAACTTTTTATTTCTTAAAATATTTTAAGCAATTTGAACAAATTTTTATATTATATTCTAATATAACTCAAGAAAAAAATTGAAATGAAAAGTATAATTTTGTCAATTTGAGTGGAAAACTTGATTAAAGGACATATTAGAGAATTTTATACTATATAAAATATAATATATACAATTAGAAATGTAGAGACATATTAAAGACTTGCCTAGAGTTATTTGTCTAACTTTTTTATTTAACCAAAATATGTAACATATCTCTAAAATCTATGCTTGATTTATGATGTATGAACTAAATATAATTATAAACAAAATCTTGAAAGGAAATCAATTTGGTTACACTATAATAATTGAAGGACTAAAAGTAATGCCAACCTTTTCTAATTATGATGAAAATCTATCACCATATATATAACTTCAAAACTTCACGTAGACACTTGCAAAGATAGGTAATATCTTATATATTTGAATCCTATTCCTAATGATTGTAAATTATTAAGAATATTCAACCTTATTTCAATTCTAATTTCTATGTGTTAAAAGTTAGTAGTTAGTTGCCTTTTTTTTTTTTTTTTCAATGATTAATGGTATCTTTGGACTCACACAATTAATACTATTTTTATTAATATAATTTTAAACGTCTATTCATATATATGCATTGTGCATTCATAACAATAAATTCCTCTAGATGATAAAAAGTTAAGAAAGAGAGAAAATCTCATTGACCACAAACTACTTCTTTGAGTTATTAGTTAAAGAATTATATTTCCTACTGCTTAAGGTAACAAAAATTGCTCCAACCTATAAAATAATTAAGCTATTAAATAATAATGATAATATTAATAATATACACATATGACATCATGTACAATTACCAGGCATTATTAGGTTAGAGGAATTCTTACTGACTTGGATTAGATGGAAATATTTTGTCTTAGATAATCATCAATAGCTATCAACTTTACATAATTATAACCATATAAACAAATATCTAGCCAAAATTTTAATTTAGAATTCTTTCAGGAAATAAATCGATTTCTCCATAAAAATACTTGTAAAGAATTACTAGTAACAGAAAAAAACAAAACCAAAGTTGATGGTTTTTCTCTCTTTCTTTCTTTTTTGATCGAGAAAGGTTGGTTATGACTTCACCCCCAATCCGGATTAACAAAGTTGAGCCCAAATTATAGGCCTGCACAGAAGCCACACAATTACACACGGGTCGATCTTTAGAGAACATGGATATCCAAGAGCTCCCCCTGCATGTTATGTCGTGCCTCCATATCCAGTATACTAGCAAACGGCCTCGAATTGACATGGATCCATTAACAAAACTGTTTTAATTCTTTAATTAACCTAAACGTGAATTGCATATTAAATTTATAAATTATTAATTTACTAAGTTTAACATATCAAAACCTCTTATCAGTTTGTCAAATGTATTTTAGAATATTTAAAATCTTAATAATGATATATCTTGATATATCTTGAATTCGTTGTACCAGATTACGTTGTGTCATGTGAAATTAGGTTCAAGAACATCTTTATATAATTTTATTTATGTTTCATGAACATGAAATATTTTTCAAACTACGCACAATAATTCATAAATTACTGGTTATTTGAAAAAAAAAATGAAAAAACGATATCCTGATAAATTTTATTAAATGAAATAAGAAGAATATAATGATAGACAATCCAGCCTAACCTCAAAGTTGGAGGATAAGGAAACTTAACTCCAAAATGAAACCATACATCATGTTACCTAGGATAATTATACAGACCCATGCAGTCATGTCTGCACGTAGTAATAATCTCAAGTGATAATTAGTAAAAATCATTAAAAACAAATCTGCGATGTACACGATTATAAGTTAAATTAGTTAATCGATCAATCACTGAGTTTTGTTCCTGTCGCATATGAGAAATAGAGTTAGATGCCAATAGCACTTGACACTGCTGAAGTTGCTAAATAAATTTCCACTCTCATTGGCCGTAACAATAACTCATGGCAGAGCATGAGTCCGTCTCGTAGTGCATATATATCCCAGCCCATAAAAAAATTGAGAAGCATCCAATTACGGCACTAGTATTGGATCTAACAACACCACCCCATGTGTGCAGTCCATTCCTTGCTGACCCTTTCATATTCAGCTTAAATGGATCTATAAGTGGGTGGATCCATTTATGCTGGACTCCTTTCACCATCGGGACTTTCAGGACCGGTAATCTAAGCATTCCAATCATGGATTGCCTTTGGTAAGAAGATTCCCATTGAGGGAGATAGATCAAACACATATCCAAAAGCCTAGCCAAAATACGCAAAATTATGAATTCAGCATTCATAGGCATGCCATCATATCTGGCCTAACTTTTGTTTTTCCATAACTCCCACAAAACATAAAAAGATGTTGCTACCTCACACTAGGGATGATAGTAGGCCGAGTATAAAATAGGTACTTTATCTGGCTGGTCCATTAATTATCTTTTAAAAAATATTTTAATGAGTAATGGACTAATTATGAGTAAAATAATATTATATATTTATGTTAATGGATAATTTATTCATGAATATGGGTATCCTATTTTTACCACATTGATACCTTAACATAAAGAAAAATATATATATATATTACCCATGGATATGTGCAAATGTTATGCTCTTTGTTCTTTAGTTGGTTGGATGTCTTGCCGCTGCAGCTACTGTTTAATATTCTAAAACCATTTTGCCTGTTTTTTCTTTGCTATTTTGGTTTGTGCCGTGATTTCTCTTATAGAGGAACTAATCTATATGTATAACCTTACAACTGTTTAATCCTAACATCACTTTCTAACGTTCCAGTAATTACCGTTTCAAGGAATTAGTACTGTTTTAATGGTAGAATTATCTAAGCTGCTATCTAAAGTTGTTGGCCCATATCTTATGTTTTGAAATTTTGATGGCAAGAAATATATTTTCTCTACGACTTTTCTTCCTTTTCTTGTAGCAATACAGGAATTTTTTCTGAGGGCAATGTAGGTATTTGAAAGAAACATTTTGTGGCTTTTGCCACGCCTTCTGCGATATTTTACAAAAATTTTCCATAGCTGACTTGAAAGCTTCATCTATAAGCTTATAAAATAGAAGATTTAAATGTAAAATTAGCAGCAAATTTTTTCTTTAAAATTAGACTTCAAAAAAATATAATTAAAAATATTTTTAAAAAATCTTCAATTTAAGAAAAAAAATTAGCGAGGTAAGCGGGCATGGGCGGGAATGATATAAGAGATATGGGCTGAATAAATAAATGAGTAAATGATTTTTAGTAAGTAATAGATAGGATAACGGATATAGTATTTTTTTAATAGATAGGGTATGAAATTGGCTTAATGGGCCGAGTACCCAACCCATTGCCATCCCTACCTAACACATGCCTATCTGTGGTCATCAATAGAAACATATTTGTGATGAATTATTGGTTATTAAATTATTTTATTTAGACTTCTAAGATTTCACTAGTGTAATTTATGTCAACCAAATGATTTTATTTCGAGTTTATCCTAGATTAAAATCCCGTACTCTTTGAATTTTTTTAATTAAAATTCTCTCCTCTCTTTTGGCTTGATTTGGGCTCTTTATTTTAAGAGAATTGTTAATTTAGACCTTTCGTTATAACTCCTTCAACTATGCATTTGATATGGTAAGTTAAAGTTAATGGTGACTAATAACCGAGCGACATGTGGCATAGTGGTCACCAAATAACAATTTCTTATCCAAAATTAAAAAAAAATTAAAAATATTTTTATTCATAAACTAATACTTATTATTAAAAAAATATATTAAAAAAAAAATTTGCTCTCTTTATTACCCCAAACACAAATCAATCTTTTGAATTCTCTCTCTCCCTCTCTCTCACACACACACAAACACAAGAAAATTTCATATTCTTGAACATCTAAATCCATAAAATTTCATTATCTTAAACTAGTCCGGGCACAAGCAATCAACTCTCAACCTAAAAAGAGATTGGAATGGCATGTCGCTACACGTGCATATGCTTTGCATAATTGCACCTATGGATGTTCGATTCAAGGCATCGCCCAAATTAATCTTCGCAAATGTATTTAGGTTTGATTTCCATAAAACGTCGCTCTATTGTTAACATTTTCTAAATATGGCCCCTTTACTTTTTTTTATTCATCATCTCCTTGTACTCTTCAATTTTTCTTATATGGCCCCTCTCACTCGAAATGCAGTGATTCTTCTTATCGGTGATTATAGATGGCAAAGAATTTCAACATGGCATGACGCATCAAATTAAAAATTACCGCGTGGACCAAAACTTTTACATACAAAATCTAAAAAAAAAAAAAAATTATTTGACATTCAATGTTCAAGGTAGAATTTATTCTTTATTCTTTTAAAGATCGGAGGTTCTAATTCACCTTAGAAAAATTGGCATGTATTCCACAATGTTAGAACAATAATTTCAACATGTGTTTGTCATTTATTCCAATGCTAGGTAAAATTTATCTATATGTAATATAAGATAGGAATATCAAAACATAGCCCTCAATAGATCACCGACACTTAATATTAAAACATAATGCGAGTTGAAGGAACAAGATGAAGAGGGGCAAAAGAATGAAAAAGAGGAAAAATTGTAATTGACTCATTTATGCATTTTAATGCCGTGATTAAAATACAATTATCTCTAACTAGCATTTAAGCCAAGGAAATCACAGACCTCTTAAAATTTGAAGTGGAGGGCATCTTTATCATAGCTAAACAAAGTTGCCACTCGCTAATCTACATTCGTGATTCTCCATCCAGATTAGAAGATTCACCAATAACAAAACCAACATAAGTTTCACCTACCAAAACCTAATGCATTTATGAGATATTCAAAACGAGGATCATAAAGGATTTTCATCAAACACCTAATGGACTATTCGCCAACACTAAAATCGAGCTCCTACTAGTAACCACATCCCTCACTCGCCACAAATCAATCAAACCTAGTTTCTTACCTCAATAGACCTATCCTCTTTCATCTACACCAAACCGAGTAGACCCCGTTGGCTCCTTTCCACTACTTAACAACCATCAAGCTTTACCATTGTAGTCTTCTTCCTCTCGTCATCAAATACCCGTACAACCACATACTTGAACTCTAGTCCTTTCACAAACTCACACTATCGCCAAAAATCACAATAGGCACCTATTCCAGTTTCCACCATAACATATTGCTATCTTTCGATAACCACTCTCTAAAAAAAATCAACTCATACTAACTCTAGTAGTTTCTACCCATACGACCATCAACCACATCCGATAAGTTTTTAGCTTCAATAGGTGATCAGCTAGGGTGGAAATACAAAGACAATGAAATAAGAGGAAGAAGATTTTGAGTTGAGGAGAGCTCAAGGAACACTTTTTTCTTGGACTAGGGAATAAGGGAAGCAACGTGGAAAAGGAATATCGTGAATGTCTTCATCTACATACCTAATTCAAATCGAGATATCATCACAACATTACTAGTTGATGTAAGAAGAGGGAGCAAGAAGAAATTGAATTTTACGAGGATCTTGTAGTTTTAGGAAAAACAAATGGATTCTACTAGGCTTTGAAAAGAGATTTTTTTTTTTTTTTTGGTTTCTAAATATCCCGGTCTTCAACTAGTTTTTGGGTTTTCATCCGGGCTCCTAAAGCACTTTGGTTGTAAATCATACATGCAAACCCACCCCCATCTACCAAAACAACATAGACCTCCTTATGGTATCAACATATAAAGCTAATGTAAAAATCAAAACTTTTTTTTTTAGATTTAACATGTAAAAATTTTTGACCATATGGTCATTTTTAATCTAATGTGTCATGCCAAGTGGAAATTTTTATCATCTATTATCACCAACAAACAGAATCATCAAATTTCAATAAGAGGGTCCACATTAAGAAAAATTAAAGAGTACAAGGAGGTGATGAATAAGAAAAAAAAATAAAGGGCCCATATTAAGAAAAATATCAATAATAGAGGGACGTTTTATGCTATTAAACCCGTGAATTTACGAGATAGTGGCACATTTTCCCTACTTATCTCAATTGGAATATTCTCATACACATCAAAATTAATATCAGTACTCTCTTGCTCTCTAAATGGTTCCTTTGTTTCATTATCTAAACGGATTCACTTCCTACTCTCTCCCATAATCCTAACCACCTTTATTTCTCCACCTACCACCACAACCATGCCAACCACGATAATCTTTTCTTGGAACAGTCTAATGAGATCAACCCCCATACCTAAAATAATCTTCACTTGACATAAGTCCACTATAGGTACCAATTTGTAGGTCGATGGATGGTGCATACTTGGGGAGATGAGGAGGGATGCATGTGGATCTAAAAAGAGCAATCTACAAAAGTAGTACCTACATTCCATTAATAGTAAGAGAACCGAGCATTTGTGTTTTCAACTACAAAATTTTTGGCCAAATCTACCCATGAATTCATCTTATTCATCATAATTTTTTCATCAAAATACAAAAACTCTAGTACCAAATTCCCTTTCTAAACAAACTCAACTTCATTTCCTACAAATCAAACTTTTTCCCTTTTTTTTTTTAAATATCACCACTTCAACTTAAGCACTAATAAAACTACAAATCTATCAAATTCTCAATATTCAAAACATAAAATCATTACATTTAAGTCAACATAAACAACGATAGCTAGAAAACTATGACAAATTTAACAAAATTCCCAAAATGAGAAAACTCTAATTTTGAATTCTTTTTTTCTAAACACAAGAAAACTTAATTCAACTCTAAATTTAACCAAAACTAAATTCATCAAAAAAACTTTTGTACAAAACTCCATTACATCAAACTCTTCATCCTTATTCTATTTTAATCCAAAAAAAAAAATTTCTAAGAGCTATAAACTCATCCAATTAGAAACTTCAACAACATCACCGAACAAAATACAAAAAAGCAAAAAATCAAACACAATCCGATCCAAAAGGTACAAAATTATATATATATATACACACACACACACACACACATACATATATCCACACACATATATAAATACACACGCACACACACACAAACACACACATATATATAATGGGTTTTAGGAATTTATATTTTCTAGAAAGAGAGAAAGAATGATTTTGAGAATAGAAAATAGAAAAAGAGAATCTAGAAGGTGTTAGGTAGGTACCCAATATCTAACCATGTTTAGATAGGTTTGAGTTATTATATTATTGCATCATTTATTTTATAAAATAAAAAGTCTTTCTATTAATTCTTATGTTTTATATTTATTAATTCAGTGGAATTAGATATAAGTCTTTATGATATGCATTTACAATAATGATTGATCGAAATATGTGAGACAAAGACTAATACACATAAATGATATCATTAAATATCTCAAGTCTTAGCATTGTCAAGAATGGATATTGACTAGATATGATTAGACTTATGAGTATTATGCTCATGCTATATGATAGCAGTAGGAGATCTCACACCTATTAACATGGTGATGCCAAAGTAAGCACTTAGGTGATTTATGTTAAAGAGCATATCATTGGACTTGACTCACCATGAGAAACCATTTGATTTAGTCTATGGGAATCTCATACAAGATAGGTATAACTAGTTTTTAAACTTGAAGGCATCACAGCTTATCTCATTAGAGGATTTATATACTTTAACACTCGTTTCGGAAGACTCAATAAAGGGTTACACATGGGTGATTCATTTGGTATGCTAGGTATCTAATTGAGATAGGTGGATGACTAAGATTGAACATGTCATTTCTTGTATCCTAAAGGAGTTATCATATTGCACTTTGATGAATGTCTACTTAAGAAATCTAAGCTCATAGTAGGAGTATACTAATAGAGCATAATTGGTTTACTCTACGAGCTAAGACATTTAGAAATCAAAAAAAAACTTATGTGATCATAATCGAACAAGACTAATACCTAGGTTCAAGATCACATTGTGATAAGTTGACATGAAGCCTAAATGATATGATAACCATACTTGTGAAAGGTAATTAAAGATTAATTAATCCTTCTAGAGAATTTGGTAGTTATAATGCCTTGCTAGAGGTCAATCTTGACTTACGTATCAAGAAATAAAATAGGTGTCTTTTATTCTTGATACAATACCAATATATCTAGGAGCCTATTGAATCACAAGTATAAGTTGAAGCATTCATGTGATAAAAGAAAAATAGAGATAGTAGAAATGGTTTCCAATTTTGAATTTTTTTTTATTTTGGAAAAGGTTTCCAAAAATGGAAAGCTTCCTAAAATAGAAAGTCTCATAAAATGGAAAGTTTTTTATTTTAGAAATTAGTTTCCTAATTTGAAAGTTAGTTCCAAATTTGAAAGTAAATAACCTAAAATGGAATGAGTTTCTTAATTTAGGTTTAAGGGTATTTTAAAAAATTATTTCCTAATATGGGTCACTTAAAATTATCTAATTTAATTTATTTAGATAGTCTAAATTAATTAATCGGGCCAAAATGATTTTGGGCCAATAAGTTTAATTAAAATCTTGAAAGATATTTTGGTAGGAGGATAAACATGAACTTTATTGGATAAGGATGAATGTTTTATAGATAAAGATCAAAAGCCAACATGTTAAATAACTCATAATCCTTGAAGGATTAGGAAGCAACAACCAAGAGTCTAATAAGGACTAGTTACTACCCTACTTCTTATCCTTTGAGGACAAGAAAAATCTCCCACTATAAATAGGAGGAAAGGTACATCAATAATGGTGATGAAATGTGAGAGAGAAAATGGCACAATAAAAATAAGACTAGGGTACATGGCTTAAGGAAAATTAAAAAGAGAAAATAGTTTTCTTCTAAAACTCTAGCACACGACACCTTCTCTCCCACTCTCTCTTAGGTTGTCACAAAATTACCCTAATTAGATTTCTATAGGAAACACTAAACAAATTAGAAAAGTTAGAGCTAGCGCTCTATCAATTTTGAATGCTTCTTTTATGAGTGCTTGGACTACGTGGATTATCGATAAAGGTCGGATACTTGAACCACTCTTTTCTATAAAGGTTTAGATCTACACTACTAGAGGTAATTCTCTATCCATTACTTTAATTCATAAATATATGATTAGTTGATTCAATGGCATGATCCTTGACCCTTTAAATGGAGAAAATATTTTATTTTATTCCGCACCTTAATAGGATGCATGATCCTTCAATTGAAGGTTGATTTGAGTTTGGGATGATGGGAGGATGTTTTCTTTTCATAGTATTTTTAATACTAATTATTATTTTATTAATTAAAATATTTTTAAATCTTTTTTATTTCAAATAGAAAAATATTATTTAAGACCCATTACGTCATGTGTCCATCAATTATTGATTATTGTTAACTTTAACTTGTCACATTGGATGAACAATTGATGGTGTTATGATAAAGGGTCCGAATTAATATATTTCTAATAAAAAAAAAAGTAAAACATTGTAATCAAAAAAATTCAAAGAATACATGGTCTAAATATAGAATAAAACCATTTCCTTTCAATTCGTATAAAAATTGACCATTTTATGAAAATATCAAAATATTATTAACATTTATTGACTAAAAAACATTGTGTGAATTATACGAATCATATTGATTTTAAATTGTTCATATTAGTGAAATTGCAAAATTATTAATTATTAAGGCTTAGTTGTGTTTGGTATGAGAAAGGGGGAAATTATGAACCTTTTCCCCTTATTTGATACACTAGGGAAAATTATGAGGGATGTCACTTAACCTTTAGCATAATTTTTGGATTGATTAGGTTTAGATTGACTAAGTAAAGGTAAGGTATGAAAAAAGAAGGAAGGTGGGATATGAACCATTTCTTTGTTTGGATATAAAAGAGGAAAATAAAAGGTTAGGAACTTCATCTTTGTTTAGTTAGAGGAAGGTAAGTTTTAACTATAAATATATTTAACTAAATTACTAAAATATATTTAACTATAAATATAAATCGAATATGAAATAATGAATATTCATGTTCATTTCATATCTCTATTACTCATAATCCTTAATCTAATTCAATTCCTCATTCAATATAGAAATTGAAAATGTGATGTACGTGATTCAACCATTTATGCATCTTCAATTACTCATAGTCCTTTCCAATTCTCTTTCTAAACTTAACGCCTATAAGTAGACTTGATTGTTCATTAGTTTGTTATGCGTTTGCTTTTGTGGAGATTGAGAGAGTTGTTTTTATAGTTGATATCCCTTGTACTCACTTTATTTCATAGTAAATTTATTTTTCTATCATCTTTCTCTCTAATTTTGTTATTGTTACCATTTTTTACAACATATTATCAGCACGAAACTCCAACCAACTAAGATACTAGACCATTAGGTATTAATCTATTAAAACACTCAACATTTTTTCAATTACTAGATTGTTTTTCAACATGAATGCTCTCTATATATATATTATCTAGATCATTAAAAGGCATTTATCGAATTTATCATTTACATTAAATCTAATGATACATAGAGTATACGTTTGAAAAACTTGAATGATTTAATATATAGAATCTAATGATCTAATATATGCTATTTGAAAAGTTTAAATTTTATTATTATGTTTGTTCTTATTTTCTAACATTATTATATTTTGCATTGTAGAATTTTTATCATATCAAACCTCACAAAACTTTATTTTTTGGCCCTTGACATATCGGATAAGAATTATTGATCATAGGTGCTTGATGTTGAGAAAACATTATCTACTTTTCATGCCTTGAATATGCTTATGCAGCAGCAATATCATAAAAAGTGTTTTTTGAAATATTTTTAATTGATTTCATACTTGTTTGTGGCTGAACAAAATAATTGAATTATTGATGAAAAATCAAGTATCCTACCTCACTAGATTTACTCCATTTTCTTTAGTGAATGTGATAACTTATAAGAAACCTAAGCATGGATGAAGATGTGGTCATGACCATAGACGTGGATATAGGTATAATCCTGGTTGAAATAATTATATTTATAATCATGATGACCATACTAATACACCTCAGTACTAGAAATGGATAAACTATATAAAAAAAAAAAAAACAAGAACATAATAAAAGTAGATCAAGTCATCATTTTGAAAATGAATGTTATAGGCATGGCTCAAAAAGACATTGGTAGTGTACTTGTCGTATGCCAAAGCTCCTCATTGAGCTTTATCAAGCCTCGTTGAAAAAAGAAAGAGTAAAATATAGAGACAAATTCTATATATCAAAATGATGGTAATTAAAATTAATAACTTGTTAGTTTTTCTATTTATAAATAAAACGTTTTATATTTTTTTATAGTTAAGATTGCATAGTGATAGTTATAAAAAAAATTATATATTTATTTACTTGTTTTATGTTTATTTAATTATTAATTTCATGTTAATATTATCTAATAATAGCAATCTACTTGAAAGCTTTAGAAGAAAAAATATATTATTATCTAAATAGACAAATTTTAAAGGCTCTATAAGAGTGAATATATTATTACTTAAAAAGATAAATTTTAAAAGCTCCAAAAAGATAAATATATTATTACTTGAAATGATAAATTTTATTATAAATGATACACTATTCTCTCTAAAGTCTCATATAAATTTGTTCGAGTTTTAAAGATATTCATCTAAATGGATATCATATAAAGAAAACAAATATAAAAAATATTGAATACTTATATATTATAATATTACATAGGATAGAAAACATGTATTGGAGAAATTACTCACTTTTTCTTTTGGTTTTTAGCACAAACATTCGAATGATTGAAACAAATATTATAGTAAAGCGAAGTTTATTAATTCAAATACTTTTATTATGTGACATGACCAGTTAGGCTATCTTAGGTCTTTCATGATGAAAAAAAATATTGAAAATTCATATGGGCGTCCATTAAAGGGATAGTAAATTCTTCAATCTAATGAATTTTTACGTTCGTATGTTCTCAAGGTAAAATAATTATTAAACCATCACAAAGTATATTTGGAATTGAATCCCTAGAATTTTTAAAACTTATTCAAGGTGATATATGTGGACCAATTCATCAAACATGTGGATCATTCAAATAATTTATAATTTTAATATATTCATCTAAAAGATGATCACATGTATACTTATTATCAATCTAAAACCTAACGTTTTTTAGGTTGTTTGCTCAAATAATTCAATTACAAGTATAATTTTTAAATTATACTATTAAAATAATTAGCCTTGAAAATGCTAGTAAATCTATCTCTTAAGCATTTAATGATTATTACATGGCTATTAGAAAAAAAGTTGAACAATTTGTTGCTCTTGTTCATACTCAAAATAACTTAGCAAGATTATTTATGAAAAGCTTTAATTAATAGCTAAACGATTACTTATGAATAAAAAACTCCTTATTTATGTTTGAGAACATGCAATCTTACATATATCAATACTTATTCACATCAAACCCACAAGTTATTAAAAATTCTCTCTCCTTCGAGTTGATTTCTAGTCATGAATAAAACATTTTTCATCTAAGAATCTTTAGTTGTGTAGCATATGTCCTTAGGAGATGGAAGTATATGTTAGATATTATCACGACTCTCAAAGTGAGCCATGACTAGCATAAGAATCGAGAGAACTATAAGGCCTATCTTTACTTAAGCAAACCTCGAATAACTAAACTACAATCCTCAAATTTATATTACATCAAACTACATTTTATTTAATAATATCCCAATTATAACGATCATTACTTTATATCTCTAATACAAATGATAATTTAATACTATTCTTGCATTTCTCAAATTAATTTTTAATACGACTCCCATAAGATAAAACTACAAAGCTTTCAAAAAAGTACAACCAAATCTAACATACGTTCTAAGAGATTACAAGTAAATAAGTTGCACGATCAATGTGTCTATGTCAAGACAAGCGAGAAAGTGGAAACTAAAATGGCGACCTCACAAACCCTACAAGACCGAAATAGTGGACGGTGAGCAAATCAATGACGTAGTGAGTAGATACTATATAACATTATGAGGAAGGAAAACGGATTATCGATGATATCTTAAAATTCAACTTAAGATGCAATGCCTATTTCTCCAAATCAAATACATATCATAAATACCAACTCATATATCATAACTTAAATGGTTCAAAACTAAATTGAATCAAATATATATATATATATATATATATATATATATATATATATATATATATATATATATATATATCATAATCAAATCAATCAGACACTTAAGGAGAAACCATAACGTATCATTGGATATGAACACCAAAAGGTCACACCCCTAATGACTTTGTTACCATTTATTAGCCAACACATAAACTAGCACTTTACCTCTCATGCTAGCTGGAGCTTAACGTATCATTGAGCTCAAAGGCTATACCTTCCATAGCTAGGTACCTCAAGGTAATCAAATCATATAAGCTTATACATATTTTGAAATATCCAAATCCAAGTAACTCAAGCACAATGCATGCTCAAAATCAAATTAATAGTACAATTCAATATCAAATAAAAATTATACGATTAATCAAATATCGATCTAAAGAATTAGAATTTAAATCCATAAATACATATCCAAACATAAGTAAAGCACTTATTCAAACATATATTTAAAGTACTTATTCAAACATATATTCAAATATCTTTATAAATCATATCAAATCATTTTTTATATGAAATTATTTCAAATACACAAAGGTCTATTCCCGTCTAAGTTCTATTGATTGTGCCTAAATCATAGATAAATCAATGATGCATGCAGATATATTAAAGGAAATCAAAAGCATAATATGCTATATAATATTCACTCGAAGTACAAATAAAGGATTAAACGAATTAAGGTTATTATGATGGAGTCGCTCGCTCCGAAAAATCAAATAACATAAAATGGTGGAATAACCATCAATATCACATATCTAAGAATAATTCAAAATAAATGAATGTTTCTAAACATCGAATACAAGATTACTTATAAGAATGGAATTGATCGAAAAGATTCAACCGATAACTTTTACTAAACTCTTACTCTCTCAATCGACTCTAGGCTATTGCCTAACAAATTCTAAGTTCACTCTATTATCTTTCTTCAACAATCCGATTACTCATCATCGATTTCAATCATCCATCATCAATTCTCAACTCAATTAAAAATTTAAATGATCAATCCATAATTAAATCACCAATTCTATTTTAATTCACTCAATTCTTATTTCATTCATCTTTAATTATGTTTATATAACTTAACTTTTTATTTTTTCCTAAATTCTTTTGAATCCAAAACCAAAATTCAAATTTCTCACTATTCATCATCTTCAACCTCTCAATTAATCAAATTTACTCAATTCATCTTCCATTCAACTTCATAAATCACTTACCCAAAATAATTTAAACATCATTTAATTAATTAGAATCATTTAATTAACATTTTTCCCCAAATGGGTCTCAAAACCCTAACATTAATCTAACTCAATTCTTCAATCATACAATAAACCCAATGTATTCTAACTTCAAAACCATCAATAACTATATATAAGCATTCTCATTTAAAGATCAAATGATAAAATTTCTTACCTTTGACAATTTGATATTTAATCCTAATTTCTATCCTAACTCTCTAAGCTTTCGAAGTTTCAATCCAACCAAACTCCATTTCAATAAACTTTTTTATGGTTTGTCTAAGTTAATATAACAAATTTTTGAATTAGAATTTGGACGAAGGATATGGGAGAAAATTTAGAGAGAGTCGTGTGAGAAAGAAGTAGAAGAAGATAGAAACATGAGAAGGACGACCAGTTGTCCCTTTTTTATATGTTGCCTAATTTTTTTA